TGACAAGACGACTCTGAGGGTACTCCAGGGCTGGCAGAGAGAGCATGCTGAAAGCATGCCCTTGGACATGGTCCCTCGGGCCTGGAGAGGGTATAGTTCAGCCCCGTGGATGGTGGAGAAGGTCACTGAGTTTCTCCACCTCTGGTGGTGGTGAACCGGAGCAAAGGAAAATCTAAAACCCTGGGACCAGAAGCCCCTTATTCCTGCAAAGTCCCTCCGGGGCCTCTGCTGGCAGGGGCCATACTGTGCTATATAAAGAAGAAATGTTTGAAGGGTCTGCCATGCATGCAGAACGAGCAAGGAGGGGTGGATTTGGAGCCTGGAGGCAATAAATGGATACCTGCACAACTTTTGAGGACGAGTGTACCTCCTAGGGAACAACAGCATAGGAGCCTGCCCCAGGGTCCTTCAGTCTTCCCCTCCTGGCCCAGGCGCTATAGTTGCTACAGTTGCCCTGACAGCTACATATGTTATAAACCCCACGATACCTTGTTATCATTGCTGTTTAAACAGTTATCTTTTGAAGACATTTAAATAGTAAGAACAAACCTTGGTTTTGTACCCAGCAGTTCCTGTTTTCTGTGCCTCCTGTTCCATTTTGTAGACCCATGTTACCATCTGGTATCATTTTCCTTTGGCCTGAAGACACCCTTTCACATTTCTTATAGCGTGGGTCAGCTGGCAGTGAATTCTTTCAGCTTGTGTATGTCTGAAAAAGTCTCTAGCCTTCAGTTTTGAAAGCTATGTTCAAACGGTGTGGAATTCTAAGTTTCAGGGTTTTTCTCTCCGTGCTTTAAAGACGTAGTCTCTACACTTTTCTGATGAGGCACCCACTTTCATTCTTACCTTTGTTTCTCTGTACCCGATGGCCATTTTCTCTGGTGGCTTTTAACATTGTTCTATATATCACTGGTTATGAGCAATTTGATTATGACTGGCCTTGCTGTAATTTTTTTAAATGTTTTTGTGCTTGGAACTTAATGACCTTCTTAAATCTGTAAGTTTATATTATGTTTGGACAAGTTTTTACTATTTATTAAATTTCTTTCTGTTGCCTTCTATAACCTCCTACTCTTTAGAGCCCAGTTATACACATAGTGAACTTCTTGAAATACCTAAGTATTTCATTTTTATTTTGGTGCTATTATAAATGGTACTGCTTTTTAAAAATCTGTGTTCTGATTGTTCATTGCTACTCTACAGAAACACACTTGACTTTTGTATCTTGTCCTTTTACCCTTTGACTTTGCTGAACTCAATTATTATAAGACATTTACCTTAGTAAACTTTTTGGAATTTTCTGTATGTATAGTTGTGTTGTCTGGGAATAGAGTTCTGTCTCTCCCTTTCCCAATGTTCTGGCATTGCTTTTTCTCACCTTATTGCCCTGACTAGGACACACATGTGGCACAGAGTAGGAAGGGAAATGAAGGGCCGTGCCTGTGAACTCAGAGGACAAGCTCAGTTTCCCGCTATGGGTTGTAACACTGGTGTAGGCATTTCTGTAGATGCCCTTTATTAGAGTAATTAAGTTTTCTTCTATTCCTAGCTTGATGAGAGTTTTTCATTGTTATGAATGGGTTTGGATTTTGTTAAATACCTTTTTTGCATGTGTAAGATGGTCATATGTATTTTTTCTTTAGTTTATTAATGTAGTGAATTACAGTGATCAATTTTTGGATGTTGAAGCAGCCTTGAATTCTTGGATAAACCTCACTTGTGGTGATGTTTTGCCCTGTTTGTTTTGCTGGATTCCATTTGCTAATATCTGATTGAGGATTTTTGTGTCTGTGTTCATGGGAGATATCAGTCTATAGTTTTCTTGAAATGTCTTTGGTTTTTGTATCAGAGTAATGTTGAACTTATAAATGAGTTTTCAATTTTCAATTTTCATTTCAATATTCTTCCAGAGTTTGCAGAGAATTGGTATTATTACTCTTTTCTTTAACTGGTAGAATTTACGAGTGAAACCATCTGGGCCTAGGTGTTTTTTGGTTGTTATTGTTGTTTGTTTGTTTGTTTGTTTGTTTGTTGTTGGAATAGATGTAGGACCAGAGCAAACAGTTTTTTTCTTGAGTGAGTTTTGGTAGATTGTGTTTTTTTTTTCAAGGAGCTGGTCTGTTTTATCTAAATTGTTGGATTTGTGGAGATAGCATTTGTCTTAGTCTGCTTGGGCTGCCGTAACAAAATACACAGATTGGGTGACTTAAACCACAGACATTTATTTCTCACAGTTCTGGATGCTGGGAGTCCAAGATCCAGGTGCCTGCTTGGTGGTTTTGCAAACTCCTCAGGAACTTCCTAGGTGTATTCTGAAACTAGCCCCTGTTTATGGAGGGCAGGGAGAGACCAAGAAAGAGGCAGTCACTCCCAGGTCGGTAGGTGGCAGTTTTAATAAGCAAAGAGAACTTACATATGAAAGCTTGTCTCAGATGGCAGAAAGATGAGTAGATCCCATACTCACTGGCTATATCTTAAAAGCTCATAAAGAGGTCGTAACTGGGCTCAGCCATGTATACTTTGCATGTGTTCTCAACAGAACATCCCCGACTCAAGGCTGTGTCCTCGGACCGGCCTCTGGGAGCAGGAAAGTTGAGTGGAACCCACATCCAAGGACAGGGAGGGGATGAGTACCTTCCTAGTACCTGGGTCCAGCTCACAGTTCAGCTGGCAGTCGTGTCTTCTCCATGACCTTCCCAAAGCTTCAGATTTGGTTTCCAGTGAGAGCTCTCTTCTTGGTTTGCAATGACTCTGTACAGATAGTGAAGAGAGACCCCTGGTGTCTCTTCCTCTTCTTATAAGGGCAACAGTTCTAACAGGTCAGGTCTCCACTTTTAAGACCTCATTTAACCTTAATCACTTCCTTAAAGGCACCCCTTCCAATGCAGGATTAAGGCTCCAACATATGGAATTGGGGGGATACAAGTAAGTTCCTAGTCATATACTCTAATTTTCTTTCTAATGCCTGTGGGATCTGTAGTGATGACCCCTCTTTCATCCTGATTTTGGTCATTTGTGTCTTCTCTATTTCTTGACCCATCTGGCTAGAGGTGTATCAATGTTGTTGATCTTTTCAAGGAACCAACTTTTGATTTCATCAATTTTTCTCTTCTTCTATTTAAGTTTCATTGATTTTTCTTCTTTATTATTTCTGTCCTTCTGCTTGATTTGGGTTTATTTGCTCTTTTTCTAGTTACTAAATTGGAAGCTCAAAATATTTGAGATCTTTTATTTTTTTCTAATATAAATACTTAATACTGTCAGTTTCCATTAAAGTATTGCTCAGCCGTGTCCCACAAAATCTGGTATGTTGTGTTTTCATTTTAATTAAGTTCAAAATACTTTAAATTTCTTTGACACCTTCTCTTTGACCCATAGTTATTTAGAAGCATGTTGCTTTCAAAATATCTAGGAATTTTCCATGTATCTTTCTAGTTTAATCTCATTATTATCACAGAACATACTTTGTAAGATTTCTATACTTTTAAATTTGTTCAGGATTGTTCTAAGTCCTGGAATTTGGTCTATGTTGATGAATGCTCCATGTACACAGAATACACACTCTGCTGTCGTTGGGTGGAGAGTTCTGCAGTTCAAGTCTGTTACTGTTTGGGTATTCTAAATCCTTCCTGATTTTCGGTTTACTTATTGTATTGATTACTGAGACAAGAGTGTTGACGTCTCTGACGAACTATCTGTTCAGTTTTATTCATTTTTGCTCCACATATTTTATAGATGCATACACGTGTAGGATTGCTATGTCTTCATGCGGTATCCGTCCTTGTCCGTGGTTACATCTTGTCTTACTCACATAACTATCCCAGATTCTTCTGATTCCTGTTTGCGTGGCATATCTTTTCCTCTCCACTTACTTTGCCTGCCTATATCTTTATATTCAAAGTGTGTTTCTTATATTTCAAGCACATTTGTTACACATTTCCAATGTTCTCATGGCACTTCACACGCAGGGTGAACATTGTGTGTTGGGCCTACCTCTTCTTGAGGCCAGGCGAGGGCTCTTAACCCCCACTCTCCGACTCTGTTCGCCCAGTGCCTAGCAATGAGTGGTCACTGTACAGGATGTTTATGAGGGTTCAGATAGCCCACTGCATGGAAGAATCAAGATTTTGATGCCCTTCTTGAGGTGATGGGTGAACTGACCAGCCTTAGGACACAGGTCTTGGGCTACTCCTTAAGGACCTACTCTCAGATACAGGCGCCGTGTCCAGCACTGCTGGTGGAGGCTGGTGGGTGTGTTCAGCTGGGCTGCAGCCGTGAGTTAGTGGCTAAAGTGGAGTCCAGGGCTATGGAGCTGAGTGCGAGACTTTACATACAAAAGAGGAAGGCTGTTGGCTCAGAAGTGCAAGGCCACAAAGGGGAGGGATGGAAAGAGGAAGAAGACCCACCACAAACTCCACCAAGAGAGGGTGCATGCGGCTCCTGCCAGGGAAACAGCCCCATGAGAGCCCTGACACAGCAAACTGTTCCTTAGGACCCTGGCTGTGTCTCCTGCTCCTGGATGCCTGTGGAACAGCTTCTGTTTTCTGAGGACAAGCTCAGGATGTTTAACTTTCTGAGCCAGGTGCAAGAGTGTAAGCTTTCTGAGCCAGGTGCAAGAGTGGAGGGCTATTCTCTGTGTGAGTGTAGTGACTCAGATCCTCAGGTCAGGCTGGGGGACCATGACGCTGCCGGTCAAGGGGAGATGTTATGGTCAGGGCTGTGTGTCCTCACGTGGCCCTTGAACACCTTCCTGCTGAGTGAGAGGGGGTGTGAGTGGTTCACATGGGCAGGCTTTGTGCCAGAATCACCTTGGGTCTTGTCCAGTTGGCAAGGAGGAGTGGGACCCCCAGCGTGGGCTCGGTGTTGACTCCTTGATTAGAGACACAGCCGACCTTGGCCGATGCTGCTGCCTTTGGTGGTTTGGGGAGTCATACGGGCACTGGGCTCTCTTCAACATAACAAACTTTATGCTCCGCCCCCCTTTTTTAGGGCCAGAAATGATGATTCCACCAGGGGAGTGCATGTATGCTGGAAGGAAAAGAAGGAAGCCCATTCAGAAACAGTAAAGTATCACATCTTCTGTTTTTGCTGATTGTTCCTGATGAAGGGGGAAAGTATTTGCATTTTCATTGAAAGGAGTGAATTTTAGGAATAAAGTGAATGAGGGAGAAGTTTTGCTGAGTCTTTCTGATGGGTAGAGGGGCTTGCAGAAACAGCATGAGACCCAGCGCCTGGGGCTGGCGGTGTGTTGTGGGTTCTCTGCGCAGCTGGAAACCCACTGCTGCCTTTCTTAGCGACTTTGGGCTGCTTTCCTAACTTTGATGGCAAGGCAAGACAAGGCAAAGCTGAGTGACACCTTTCAGCTAGAAGTCAACACGGGGGGCCGAGATGTCACCATGGTTTTTGGTGAGCACCAGATCTCCTCCCTGCCCTGGTGAAACCTGTCCTCGCAAGGACACACCCACGGCCCCTGCGAGCGTTGCCACACATGAAGGACACTCTGGGGCTTGTCCCCCTGCCTGTGGGCCTCCAGGAGGTTTACAGAGTAGAGAAAGGAATCTGTGACCCTCACCTCCTGGACACAACACCAGTGTTCACAGTCCCGCCAGCAGCCCAAAGGTGTTCAGGACAACAAGGTATGAATTTTGCGGCAGGGGTTTGGGACTGCCCTGCTGTGAGGCCAGCAGGTGTGGTTCCCAGAGCCCAGGGGCTGCCTCTGGCTCCTCCAAGGGGGTCCTGCAGTGTGTGCACTGTTGGCTGGGTTTCTGGTGTGTGTGTGTGTGTGTGTGTGTGTGTGTGTGTGTGTGTAATATAGCTCTGTTTGAGTCAGTGTGAGCATGTGTATATAAGGCTCTGTGTTTGGGCCTGTGTTTCTGTGACCCAGGCTGCCCTTCTGGGCCCTGGTGGCTGCAGGGTTCTGGGAGAGGCCCCCACCCAAGGATAGGCAACAAAGGCTTGAGGGGCGGGGCTTCGGAAAGTGAGTTTGTCACCTGAGTTGGTTGTGTGGCCACCGCGGGCCTCCTGGGCTCTGCAAGTGGAGGGTGAGGCAGGAGGCGGCTGAGTGTTTCCACGACTGGGTCTGGGGCGGGGCAGTGGTGGGGCTGAGTCCTGCTTGTGTGTGCTAGACAGGGTTCATTCTGGTGAGCACACAGTCACGTTGAGTAAGGAACGGCACCACGGCCCCTGGAGGTGTTGGTCACTTGCATCTTTTTCCTTATTGGGCTGTAACTGAAGGCTGTGGCACTGCACGTGGTTAAATGTGCAGTCTGGTCGGGTTGACAGCTGTATGCACCATGGAACACCACCAAAATCAAGGTCACCGACACTCGGATCGTACCCAGAGTGTCCTGTGTGCTTGCGGTCCCTGCCTCCACCTCCATCCAGGCAACCCTGACGTGCTCTGTGCCGTAGCCTGCTTTGCATCTCTGGAATCTTCTGTAAGTGGAATCAGACACCATTTTGTTGGGCTTCTTTCCTTCAGCCTGATCTTGAGGCCATTCCATACTTCGTGTGTACGGAGCGTGCTCCTGTTTGCTGCCGAGTAGTGCTCCAGGGTCTGGACGCACCGCTTTGTTTACTCACCTGCAGATGGACATTCAGGTGCTTCCCAGGTTTGGGCCGTTGCAGGCAGAGCTGCCACGAATGTTTACACACAAGTCTTTCTGTGGATGTATGTTTTCATTTCTCTTGGGTAAATACCTAGGAGTGGGATTTTGACTCAGCAGATGTGTGTTCACTTTTAGGGAACCACCAAGCTGTTTTCCAAAGCAGCTGCACCGTCTTGCTTCCCGGCAGCGCGCAGGGGCTCTCGGTCCTCTGTCTTCTACCCAGGTCCTCGATGGGCGGTGGTGCCGCCTCAACACGGCTTGATCTGCCTCGTTCCCCACGGGCGCTGGGCGTCTGTTCATGTGCTTGTGTGCCATCCACATATCTTCTCTGCTGTCTTCTTACTGAGTTTTAAAACTGCTTTACATATTCTGGATACAAGTTCTTGTGGACATTTTCCCCCAATCTATGGCTTACCTTTTCATTTCATTTTCTTTTTTAAAAAAGTAATCTCTAGGGGCGCCTGGGTGGCTCAGTCAGTTG